CTCGAGATTTGGCACACATGAGAGGTGGTTTGGGTCGAGATGATGCTCACGATTCTCATGTCTTTGGTCCTCTAATTTGAGATGTATTGAGCTCATAATTGCTTCTTGATTCTTGCAAGTTTGATCGTGTATCTCCTTGTAGCCTTTCATTGTTGTAATCTGCATCTTCCAAGCGTTGCTTAAGCTCCAAGCTATCCCGTTGAGCTCCTAGCTCCGTGCTCCCGTTCCAAGCTATCATTAGCTCCATATGTTCCTTTACCTCCAAGATATAGTTTGAGGCATCGCTTGGGATTCCGAGGTCCTCATCAGTTATGCGAGCTTTATTTAGATACATTTGATGTATTGACACTTTCTATGGTTTATGGATGAGTGTTTTATTCATTACATGTTGTGCATACTTAATATGTTATGAAATCCATGTATTGTTATGAACAATACTAAGACTAGTATGATGTGTGCTTGATGATCATAGAGATGATTATAGGTATTGGATACGATCCCAATTATAGGTATTCGTTAGAGAGCAGAATACTGGATTGACCCGCATGAGATTGCCACATGGACTTGCGTCACGACTTGAATCTCATATGACGGTTCCATGATTGGATCCTAAGACCTGAGATATCTACGGAATCCAACATGAGGAGTTGCGTACTTTGAATACGTCAAACGTCCTGCGTAACAGGAGGACTATAAAGGCGTGTATCAGGTACGAAACGAATCATGTGCTAGTTTGTAGATAGTCAAGATGAGATTTGTACCTCTCGAAAAGAGAGAGATATCGCTGGGCCCCTCGTGTGAGCGAGACTGTGAAATATGTGGCCGCACTATAGACGAACGTCGTTTATTTCATACAGTCCAACTCAGTGAACGAGAAAGCAGTCGAATCAGATAAGGTGACTTGTCCATGTCTTATGTTCGACTTATGATCGCGTGATACAAAAGGATCATCAAACGGAATCATCACTTGCGTTCGTAAGGTCACGAACAAACTCTATTCGAAATAGGTAGTAATAGTGTCTTCCTAGAGACCGCCTATAACTTGTATAAACGAAATGGAGATTTTGGGTTATACTACTATATCGGATGAGCCTACAGGGTCACACACACAAGAAAGGACAAACGCGCGAGAAAAGATGAGAATTTTCCGGTGGAGCGGAGGCCAGACCGATCGGTCTATAAGGTCTGGACCGATCGGTCTAGCCAGCCCAGACCGATCGGTCCAGAAGTAGACCGATCGGTCCAAAGGTGACGTCTAAATGTTGGTCGGTCCGGAAATTGTTCCAGACCGATCGGTCCAGACCCCTAGACCGATCGGTCCACACGTAATAAGCTATAAACCGATCGGTCCAGGCCTGGACCGATCAGTCTAGACGTCGGGATTTCATTAACTCGCCCAAATTAGGGTTTTAAGGTTAAGGAACTTTGGGGAACGCCTCCTAAACTGTTTAGCACGACTTTCAGACTCTTTTGAGAGGTTTTGAGAGAGAAAACCTAAGAGATTAATCCCTGAAACCCTTGCGCAAAGAAGAACGCGTTCTTCAGTCCTAGCAGACGAGTTCCAATCGTTGGAATCCTTTCCGTCGTGTGGATACGTGTAGAGGGCGAGGTATTCTTCCTGCCTATAGTGATCGGACGAATACATCAATTGATACAGGCTCCGAATCGATTGAGGTAAGCGTTCTAACATATCTACAAGATCATGCATGATATGTTTTAGGGTTTTATAAAATTTTTGTTTTTCATCCGCTGCGCAAACCCGTGAATCGATCTCTTAGGAATAGGATTCGCTCTAGATATCCCAGGAAATCCCAACAATTTGATCTTGTTGGCCACTTGATTGAATGAACTTAGAGTTTTAATTCGCATAGAGATATGAGATTCTAACCTGGAAATAATTCAATAAATAGAACAAGTATTGTATCGAGAGATGAATATTTTCCTAGAGATTATGATAGTGCTCGTTCATGTATCCAGGGTTTTAAACTATTGATTCGAGAGATCAGTAGATAAAGCCTTGATAGTGAGGTTAGATTCGAGAGGGTTAATCTCTACTTTAGAGCTTGAATTCCCTGAGTCGGATAGATAAACCACTGAGTTTGCATCTTTTGAAAGATCCTTGCATGTAAAGCAATCCCGAGTCTGCAGTGTTTATCATTCATAGTTTACAACCGATTTTCATTATTTGCTTTGCTACATTTTATCACACTCTCATATTTTCTCTAGATCTAGATTTGGATTGGAATCTGACCCTGTGTTCGACCTGAGTTGCTACACACGATCCGTATACTTGCGGAATTTGTTGAGTTTAGGATATTATTATTTGATTGAATCTTATACACCTAGATTTACGACATCATGGGTGTTGTGGGTAAGGTAAATAATTAATTTTGTTTAATTTCATTCGTTATAAAAAATGAAAGTCATTAACCATCATTATTATTGAAGAAAATGAAAAAGTAAAAAGAAAAAAAAATAAAAAGTGGCCAAAACTATTCATTAGCTCACTGATAAAAATAAAAAACAATTGCCAAAGAAAATTCATTAACAATTATTATTACCCTTTTAATTTTACTATATAAAAACGTCTTTTATATCGGCTCGGAAAACAATACGTCGAGGCAAGCAAAACTAGAAATGGATATTCGAAGAATAGAGCAGAACAGAGATCAGTGAACATCTCATCAAACTTCTGACGATGTCGATTCAAGATCGTTCAACATGAAAGTTTCTTCCCCTGTATTTATTGTTATTTCTATTGTTATGGATCTAGTTAACTAGGAACATGCAATGAAAAAGAGGAATGAGGAATCTGTTGAGGAAGCTAAACGTGCACTTGATGTTTTAGCTGCTTTATGCTTACACATAATTGTTGAATATCATCTCTCAGTATCTGGGACAAAGAAAAAAGGTTGAAGCTTAGGAAAGACGAATCATGCAGATGAAAGCTCAGGAAACGTTTGTCAAGATGTTAGATGTATGTGTTCTCAAACTTAAATTCCTGCTTCTGGTGTTATTTATCGGGCCTGTTTAGTATAATGCTCATTCCTCAATTAATTATTGTAATTCTTATCCTTAGGAGTGTGAAGACCTTACATCGGCAAATTAAGAAATTGAGGTTTGACTTTCAGTTTGCTGTAAAATGTTTGTGTTTTGTATTCCTGAAATCTTGGATTGTTTTTCAGATATGGAGTTTTATAATAGTGGTTTACATGTACAAAAAAGCTTTTTAGGATTCGCAACAGAGAAATGGTCAACGTCAATCATAAATCTTTTCATACCAATCTCTTTCCACGCCTTGCTCCATGCCGCTGTAAGTTGTTCCTTTTTAAACCCAAAAAAGCATGGTTCAAAGTCAATATAAGTGGTCACGATATTTCGCCAGATCCCATTTTGAAAAAACGATTGATACACTTAGTATCCATTTGGTTTATAATCCTTATTATTTATGCATAAGATTTTTTCCAAATTTTATTTACTAAAAAAAAATAAAAACAAAGAATTTTTCGATTCGTCAGATTCTATTTGATTGGATTATATTCAAATTTTATTGTATTTTTTTTATACTATTTGATTTTTTAAAAAATCATTACCATTTAATTTTTATAGAAAATTGTATTAGATTACAATTATATGTAAAATGTGATATATAAATTCTATATAAACTCGTAAGAATAGTGACAGTTTGGTACATCTCTCATATCTCCGACAGTTTCATATGATCATGTTATAGAGGGAGAGAGATAGAGAGAGGGAGTCTAATTTAGAGTTATAGAAATGATCTGTGTTGAATTGAAATGTGAATTATATGGATTCATTATTGTATCGTAGAAAGAAGAAAGGTAGATATAAATTCACATTTGATTATATGTCAAACAAAATAAATCGTATTGACTATACTTTTTTTCCAGCGAAAATATAGATACCTATACGTATACAAACGCTTTCTCGGCCTTTTTGATTGTATCTGTCGTGTGCCAAAAGAATACGGACAAGGACTTTCACGTTCACTGTCGATAAAGATTTCAATTTGATTTATTTCCCAATTAGAATAAACCATGTTTTTATTGGGTTAAAATATCTTCAAACAAAAATATTAGAATCACCATTTCAATTGGTTATTTTCTTAAAATTGTATGGAAAATATTATATTTATTTTTTAAATTTAACGTAGTTCGATCTGATTATTTTTTATTATTTTAGTTAGATTTTTACTGATAAAATATTTTTTCCTAAATAAGTTTTTTATTTATTTTGATTATTATTTAAGTTTGCAAGGTTTAAATTTGCAAGAAAAGACAAGACAAAACAAGACCTTGGACTTTCTCAACCGAACAGTTATTAAGCAAATAATCGAACCGAATAACGATAATAAAAGATTATGATTGTTAATCGCAAATATTATTCAGTTATTAACCAAAATGGTTATCCGTAATAGTATATACAATAAAAGATTTATAATTGAAAAAAATATCATTACATAGTATAAAATTGAAATGTATCGAAAAAAATATATACATCAAACTTATAAAATATGTAGATAAAGATACTATATTTTTACTTATATATATAATGAATAATAATGATTTTATAATAATTTAATATTAGAAATATAAGTCTTCTTTAAATAAAAAAATTATATTAAAAATGCGTTTTTATGTTATTTGTAAAAGAATTTCGTGTAAAATTTGTTTGAATATAGATAGATCATCAACCGATAAAATAGAAATTTAAAGAGTTATCCACCCAAATTCGATACTCAGTTGGAGTACCCATTAATAAAAAAAAAACTGTGTTTGAACCACGAGTCGGATCGAATCGATCAAACCCACCCTTTTGCAGACATGGATGATGGAAGTACTATTTTTCATGTTGTGGGGTTCTAATTGAAATTATGAAAGTTAGTGGAGATATGGGTGACAAGATAGAAGTTTGGGAACGAATTTGGATTATGTTTCTCGAGGACCGAAAAAGAAAAATGATTCTCGGACAGAGGCTGCTGGAGAATCATTTTTCCAAATAGATCTCCGATTAAATAAAAAAAACCCTAGGCCTGGAGTTTGTGCAATCGAAATTCTAGAAACCCTTTTCATTCGATTTACTCTGGATTGAGGAGAATTGGGAATTGGGTTATCGTGTTGATACTCTATGCTATTGAACTCGTACAGAATCTATTCAATTTTCCCCGCTAAGTCGGCTCCTGATTCGGCGGAGGTCTAGTCGGACGAGGCACAGTTCCCGGAGGACGTAGAATCTTGTGATTTTGGAGGTTGATCATGGAAAAATCTGCACGGAAAGTTTTGTATGAGATCCGGCATCATGCTTCTGGTCCCTATATTCCTAGTTATCCTCCTCTTCCTCAGGTATCAGAGAAAATCTCCTACAATCGATGATCTCGTTGTTGTGGTCTGCTTTTTAACTTTTTCTTTTTTGCTTTTTCTTTGGTCTACTGTCGAAGCTCAGGCTGATGGAAACAGTGCTACAGGAGGGGTTCGATCCCTTATGTCCATTAGAGGTCAGTTCAAGACGGTTACATATTTCTTCTTGGGGTTTGGGTTTGTAATCTTAGTTCCATGTTATGTAATTGAAAGTTATTACTGGTGATGGATGGGGAGAGTTCTCTTCTCACCGAGTAAGTAACGGTTTCTGTTAAAATTTGATTGTTTTGATCATCCTGAATGAAGCCTCTAGTCCACAATTTAGGATTTGGTCGGACCTAACTCTCCGTTGGATTTATGGAGATTTCACAACGTTATATAGTGATTTCTATTGTTATATGTATTTTGATTTTATGCTAATTATAAAGAGAATGCATTCTACACTTTTTTTAATCTTGAAAATTTCCTATTTAAAAAGGATGTCTTAAGTGAATTTTACAGTCAAAAGCATTCACCTCTGATTGCTGTGCCATTTGTTAAGTACGTGCAACAGCGGTTGTTTGTTTGAGTTTCTGCAAATCGGAGAGGTTGTTTTATTTGCTTGTCTGGTTCAATTTTTTGGCTTCTCCTGAAGTTCTTACACAGCCTATGAGTTGACATGTCCTTCCATTTCTTTTCTCATATACTGATAAGGTGTCAGTCAGCTCAAGGAAAAGTGGGACGAGTATTGGCATCCGAGAAAAAATCACAAACCAGCGTCATTATTTATTTCTGCCGGAGGAGAACTTGTGGCTGTGGCTGCTGGAAATCATGTTACCATCTTAAGAAAGGAGGATGATTATAGGAAACCTTTTGGCACTTTCACGTGTAAGATATCCTTAGATTATCTTTTCTTGCTTTCACAATTGTCACCTGATAAAATGGTTTGGGATCATTGACATAACTGGTAGCTGCTTTGCCTTGTGATATTGTTGGATTTGTGCAATAAATAAAGCATTACCTTTATGGTTCTATTAATTGGATATTCAAGTTCATATAAATTTACGTAAGATGTTGACATATGAAGATGTTCTGTTCTTCTAAGCTCAGGCTATGGAGTCCTCCGTTTATAAAACCTTAGGCCATTGTGGTCTCTTGTTCTATTGAATTGCGTTCCTTACTGCTTTTTTTTCTTTTTTAGCTCATCATCCTTTTCTGTTATTCACCCATCTGTCTTTTCCCTATTTTGTTGTGGTCTTTTGACGTTTGCTATCCGCATCAGCCAGTATGTCAGGTTCATTTTCTTCTGGAGTATGGTCTGTTAGCCATGACATTCTTGGCCTTGTCGATGATCGAGGAACCCTCTTTTTCGTTAAAGCCAGCGGAGAAGAGATAAATCAAGTTACAAAAAAGCATTTGAAGGTCTCCTCATCAGTTTTAGGACTGATTGAGGATGAATGTGGTCTACAAGGATCTTTATTGTAAGTTTTTTTTTTTTTTTTCTGTTTGTTACTTATTGGTTAAGAGGAAATATGATCCTACATGGGTTCTGAATACATTGGTTTGTTAGCATAAACCCTCTAGCTCTTATAATATTTTTGGTTATATTCCATCTATTGCCATTTTCCCTCAGGTGTTCATTCACGCTGCTTACATCAGATGGGCTTCTTCATCTTGTTGAAATCAGTAGAGAGCCGAGTGCCTCTGCCTCCTCCAGACATACTTCAAATAGTGTTTCAGCTTTAAAAAGGCAGTTCCCTCATCAAGTTTTTTGCTTTGATTACCATCCGAGTCTCTCTTTTCTTCTTGTCGTCGGTAATGCTGTGGGCAGATCATCAGTGGGGAGTTCTGGTACGTGTTGTAAAACTTATTTACTGGGTTAAGTTTTGAACTACCATTACTTATCTATGAATATAAAAGTTGTGGAATCGGGACCTAAAAGCTATGCAGTTGCTCAAAATCATCAAATGCTGCTGAACTACGATTACTTATCTATGACTAGAAGAGTTGTGAAATCGGGACCTGAAAGCTATGCGGTTGCTCAAAATCATCAAATGCTGCTGAACTACGATTACTTATCTATGACTAGAAGAGTTGTGAAATCGGGACCTGAAAGCTATGCGGTTGCTCAAAATCATCAAATGCTGCTGAACTACGATTACTTATCTATGACTAGAAGAGTTGTGAAATCGGGACCTGAAAGCTATGCGGTTGCTCAAAATCATCAAATGCTGCTGAACTACGATTACTTATCTATGACTAGAAGAGTTGTGAAATCGGGACCTGAAAGCTATGCGGTTGCTCAAAATCATCAAATGCTGCTGAACTACGATTACTTATCTATGACTAGAAGAGTTGTGAAATCGGGACCTGAAAGCTATGCGGTTGCTCAAAATCATCAAATGCTGCTGAACTACGATTACTTATCTATGACTAGAAGAGTTGTGAAATCGGGACCTGAAAGCTATGCGGTTGCTCAAAATCATCAAATGCTGCTGAACTACGATTACTTATCTATGACTAGAAGAGTTGTGAAATCGGGAATTTTTGAACGAAGAATGTGATTGTTGAGTTATTTCCTATGAAGAGTAATGCCCTGCGTTGAACAATATAAGGTGTATGATTCCTAAAGAGAATCATTATTGTTTTCAATTTTTTCTTTCAGGCTCATCATGCATTTCTCTTTGGCGAAAATGTCAGACAGATCTACAACTGTTGTTCACCACAAAGTTTGAAGGGGTATTTGGCGAGGCAAAAGATGACCAGTTGGCATTTCCAAAAGTTTTGATCTCACCTCGAGGGACACATGTCGCTGCTCTTGGTATTAATGGGCTAGTACATATTTTCCAGATGGATAAAGAAGCACATTCACTTTCATATTGTCTCTCTGAAGAGAGTTCCGGTTCACATAAGACAGACAAACCATTGCAAAGTTGGAAAGAAAGTTTAAGCAATGTTGTGGATTTTACTTGGTGGTCTGATCACGCGCTTACTATTGTGAAAAGGAGTGGCAACATCAGTATATTTGACATTCATAGAGCTGACACTGTCCAAGAGGATGCTACTGTTTATTCAATGCCCATTGTGGAAAGAGTCCGGAGGTTCGAAGGTCACTTTTTCCTTCTTGAGAGTTCACCACAGAAAGCAAGATCAGTTTCGTCCCAAATTGGCCGAAACCCAAGTGAATTGCTTATTTCTAGTAACTGTGGGACATTTTGGAGGCTAATATCATTTACGGAGACAACTATTCCTGAAATGTATAAAATCTTAATTCAGAACAGGCGGTATCAAGAGGCATTGGATTTTGCTGATAGTCATGGTTTGGACAGAGATGAAGTTTTCAAGTCAAGCTGGCTGAACTCGGAGAAAGGAATAAATGAAATAAACATGACCTTATCATACATTAAAGATAAGGCCTTTGTGCTGTCTGAATGTTTAGAAAGAATTGGGCCAACTGAGGATTCTATGAAGGCGTTACTTGCTCATGGGCTTTGTCTTACTAATTGCTATGTATTTTCTGAGTTGGAAGAACAGAATTCTGAAGAGCATTGGGATTTTCGTTTGGCTAGGCTTCGCCTATTGCAGTTTGATGAAAGGTTGGAAACATATCTGGGAATCAACATGGGCAGGTATGTATATGCCATACTACGTGTTTTTTTCTATCCTGTATCTATTCTATTCCTGCAGTTTTCACCACAACATGCATGTTTCTAACTGCAAATCTGACTAAGATTTTGGATTTAAAAAAACACTTTTGGATTTGATTGTGACTTGGAAGCTGTTCAACCCCTTTCCTCTGAGTCCGTCTGGTACCCTTATTCCCATTCTCTTGGTATTCACTAAATTCATCCAAGCTAAATGCTTCTATGGGTTCTACATTCAGATTTTCCTATTTTAGCTTTGTATGTATTAACATTTTGCACGTTCTAGTTACCACTGACAAAGTTTAATGACACAGACTTCCACAGGTTTTCAGTGCAGGAATACAGCAAATTCCGGAGCAGGCCTATCAATGAGGCTGCAGTTGCCCTTGCTGAAAGTGGGAAGATTGGGGCCTTAAATTTACTCTTCAAGCGCCATCCCTATTCACTTTCTTCTTCCATGCTTAAGATTTTGGCTGCTATTCCTGAAACTGTCCCGGTTGAAACGTATGCCCACCTTCTTCCTGGAAAGTCTCCTCCGACTAGTATGGTGGTGAGGGAAGAGGACTGGGTTGAATGTGACAGGATGGTCAAGTTTATTGATAAATTTCCCAAGAATGGCGAGATTAATTCTCAGATTAGAACCGAGCCATTGGTGAGGAGGTGTTCGGGATACTTTTGGCCATCAACAGAAGAACTCATTTTATGGTACAAGAGTAGAGCTAGAGACATTGACTCCTCCACTGGGCTGCTAGACAACTGCCTTTGCTTGATAGATATTGCTTGTCGAAAAGGCATATCTGAGTTGGAGCAGTTCCATGAGGACCTGTCTTATTTGCACCAGATAATTTATTCTGATGAAAATGGTGGCGAATTCTGTTTCAGCTTGAGTCTTTTACGTTGGGAACAGTTATCTGACTATGACAAATTCAAAATAATGCTCGAGGGAGTTAAAGAGGATACTGTGGTCAAAAGATTACATGAAAGGGCGATTCCATTTATGCAGAAAATGATTTCAGTGACAAACAACCATAATGAAGATTCATTGCTGGTTAAATGGGTAAAAGAGATGTCAATGAAAAACAATGTGGAATTGTGCTTGAAAGTAGTCGAGGAAGGGTCTATGAATTTATATGGTGCTCGTTTTTTTAAGGATGAGGTTGAAGCTGTTGATTGTGCTCTGCAATGTTTATATTTGTGCAAACTTACAGATAAGTGGAGTACCATGGCAATACTGTTATCAAAGCTACCTCAGATACATGGTTAGTTTGGTTGCAACATCAGATAAATCTCGAACCTAGGACTGTGTAATTGTTAGACATTCGTTTCTTCAATTGCTTCATTGGTAAAGAATTTTTTCTTCCTTGCAAATGCAGAAACTCATGCTAGAGACCTTGAGAAAAGGCTCAAATTGGCGGAAGCTCATGTTGAGGCAGGGAGACTTTTGGAACTCTATCAGGTTTTCAGGCTTCACTTGATCTGGCTACTTCTCTGAATAAAAATGCAGTCTAGAAATGATTGTTTTGCATTTCTATTAACTCTCCGCATCTCGCATTGAATAGCAGCAGAATTTATTGATGTAATAATAGAATAAATTCAGTTTTCAGGATCATCGATTTAATCCGGTGGAGGCATATCCTAGTTGTCAGGCTGTTCCGTGTCTTTAGATATGAATAAATGTTAGAGTGAAGTATGTGGAGCAGCGTCTGGGTCCAGATCCGTTTTATGTACTTTTAGTGGTAAAGTTGTAACAATGTCCTTTTTACTCTACAGGTCCTGAAACCGATGAAGTTTTTCCTTGATGTTCATTCGGATGAAAAATGTGTAAAGCAGATCCTCCGTCTCATGCTTTCGAAATTTGTCCGTCGTCAACCTGGGCGGTCAGATAATGACTGGGCATGCATGTGGCGTGATCTGCTGTACTTGCAAGACAAGGCCTTTCCTTTTCTTGATCCTGAATTCATGCTCGCAGAATTCTGTAGAGGACTTCTCAAGGCTGGGAAGTTTTCCCTGGCTAGAAATTATCTCAAGGGGACGGGTTCAGTTGCTTTGCCGTTAGAGAAAGCAGAAAGTCTTGTTATCAATGCCGCGAAGGAGTACTTCTTCTCTGCTCCTAGCCTTGCTTCTGAAGAAGTAAGTGTTCCTTGTCTATGTTCTGCTTCTGTTTAAAGTTTCTGACCTCTAGAAAATAAATTTTGTGCTATCCCATTTGTAAGTTTTTTGCTTTTGCTTATTCAAACCCTCTTAATTGTTTTTGTAACTTGTTTGCATAATTTTTATTGGTGTTTTAAATATTCTTTTCCAGATATGGAAAGCAAGAGAATGTCTTAATATATTTTCTAGCAGCCGGACTGTTAAAGCAGAGGCTGATGTCATTGATGCAGTTACTGTTAAGCTTCCAGATCTTGGGGTTACTCTCTTACCATTGCAGTTTAAGCAAGTAAAAGACCCCATGGAGATTATAAAGATGGCAATCACGGGGCAACCCGGTGCTTATCTACATGTTGAGGATCTTACTGAGGTTGCAAAACTTCTTGGGCTGAACTCTTTAGAAGAAATATCCTCAGTGGAGGAAGTTATTGCTAGAGAAGCTGCAGTTGCAGGAGATCTGCAGCTGGCTTTTGATCTGTGCCTGGGTCTAACCAAAAAGGGGCATGGTCCAATTTGGGATTTATGTGCTGCAATAGCTAGAGGTCCCGCACTTGAGCATATGGACATAAGTTCTCGAAAGCAGTTGCTTGGCTTTGCTTTGGGACACTCTGATGATGAATCAATCAGTGAGTTATTGCATGCGTGGAAAGATCTTGACCTGCAAGGTCAATGTGAGACTCTGGGAATGTTGACAGAATCGGATTCTCCAGAGTTTCATGACATGAAGGGTGCTAGTTGTGTAAGAGATTGCCCTCAGATCGTGACTGGACTAAGCAGTGATCAACTCTTAGATTTGGATAGAGTCAAAGATGCAATTTTTAGTGTTGCCAAGGACTTGCCTGTCGAGAATGGGATGGACTTGGAATCTCTTCTAAAGGAAAACGGGAAGCTCCTCAACTTTGCTGCTTCACATCTTCCATGGTTGCTTAACTTGAGCAAAAACAGGAAATTTGATAAGAATCTGGCACCTGATTCAATCCCTGGAAAGCAGTTCATGAGCATAAAAGCTACTTCTCTTATTACCATTCTTTCCTGGTTGGCAAGAAATGGTTTTACCCCAAGAGATGAATTGATAGCCATGATTACAGAATCGATTATTGAACAACCTGTAACCAAAGAGGCAGACATTATGGGATGCTCCTTTCTGTTGAATCTTGTGGATCCTTCTTATGCGGTAGAAGTTGTAGAAAAGCAGTTGAAAATAAGGGGGAACTACTTAGAAATCCGGAGTATCATGAGTTTAGGGATGATATATAGTTTACTACATGACTCTGGTGTAGACTGCGTAGATCCAACCCAGAGAAAAGAGCTGCTTTGGAAGAACTTCAAGAGGAAGCAGACGGAATCACAGTCTGGTAGTTTTTTCTTGGTCTATCATAGGCCTGAGCCTCCTTTGTTTCTTTTCCTTTAATGTCCTCTGTTGGTTGCGTATATAGTCAGAATTTTTGTGGTGCTGAATTCTTCTTCTCTTGTTTTATCATGTTTCAGATGAAATACAAAAGATTGACAAAGTTCATTCAACATTTTGGAAAGAATGGAAGCAGAAACTAGAGGAGAAAATGCATGTAGCTGATCGTTCTAGATTGTTGGAGCGAGTCATTCCTGGGGTTGAGGTGGAAAGGTTTTTGTCAAATGATATTGACTACATCAAGGCCACTGTTTTCTCACTCATCGGATCAGTGAAATTAGAGAAGAAGATGATTCTGAAGGATATACAAACGTTGGCTGACACATATGGCTTAAAACAGCCTGAAGTAAGTTACCACTTAAACTCAACGTTTCAAAGCGGGCTTTATATTTGTTCAATTGGGTAACTTGTACTCCTGTATTTGTTTTCTCACCAGGTGATATTGAGGTATTTAAGTTCTATCCTCTGTTCTGAGGTTTGGACAAATGAGGACATCACGACCGAGATCTCACCCGTCAAGAAAGATATACTTGGCTTTGCTTCAGAGGCCATTAGAATCATTTGCACGATTGTGTACCCGACAATTAATGGACTTAACAAAGAACGCCTTGCCTATATGTATGGCCTCCTTGCTGAATGCTATTGGCATTTGGAAAAAACCAAGGGAGGTTCATCATTAGAGCAACTGGATCAACCTCATGGTTCCTCTATCGGCTTAGCAAATTTGTATACGATTCTTGAGCAAGAATGCAGAAGAGTCTCGTTCATCACGGACTTGGACTTCAAACACATTGTAGGACCTCAGGGTTTGAACTTTGACAGCTTTAACAACGAAGTCCGTGCACATATCAACGAGATCAACTTGGAAGCCTTGGCAAAAATGGTAGAAACAATTGTCAGTGTATTTACGGAAAAGATTCCGAGGGGTCTCATATCCTGGCAAGACGTCTATACACAATATATTATGAACTTGTTGGACGCTGTGGAGAGTACAAGATATTTCAGTTTTGAAAATGCCGAGAGTTTCCATAGTTTTGTCAATCAACTTGAGCAGACCTATGAACACTGTCGAGTTTATATAAGGCTCCTGGAGCCCTTACAGGGTCTGGAGATACTGACGCGGCACTTCACAATTGTTTCACAGCAGAACAGTTCCATCGTGAACGTACCCGATAATTCTGCATGGCAGGAATGTCTCATCTTACTGATCAACTTTTGGATCAGATTAGCTGATGAGATGCAGGAAGTAAAATCATCTGGTAAGATTTCTGCGGAGAGTCTTAGCTTCAGTCCTGAGTACGTTAAGAGCTGTGTAATGGTTCTGATGAGACTAGTAATGGATGACAGTGTGTCCCCTAGTCAGGCTTGGTCTGCTATTCTCGTCTACCTCTGCTGTGGTTTGGTTGGTGATCCTGCTGTTGAAACTTTCAACTTCTTCAGAGCCATAGTCTTCTCTGGTTGTGGGTTCGGACCCATTTCTGAAGTCTTTTTCGAGTTATCCTCCCAGTATCCTGCGGCTTTGCCAGATCTTCCGCACCTCTATTTGAGCATTCTTGAACCAATTTTGCAGGATTTGGTATCTGGATCGCATGAAACCCAGAATCTATACCGGTTGTTATCTTCTCTCAGTAACTCGGAGGGCAATGTGGAGGAGTTGGAACGAGTTAGGTTCGTAGTTTGGGAAAAACTTGTAAGCTTTTCCGAGAACCTGGAGTTTCCGAGTCAGGTTCGTGTCTATTCCTTAGAGCTTATGCAGTTTATCTCGGGAAAGAATATTAAGGGCTCATCTTCTGAGCTACAGTCAAACGTTCTGCCATGGGATGGTTCAGATGAGTTGTTATTATTATCTATGCGGAAGACTGAAACGGCATTTGAGCAAACGCTTGATCGGGCAGATGGTTCTAACAGGCTGACAAATACTCTGGTTGCACTTAAATCGTCCCAGGTTGCTGCAAGGTCCATCTCTCCTGACTTAGAGATCTCCCCTGAGGATCTCACAAGCATCGAGACATCAGTTTCCTGCTTCTTTAAACTCTCTGCGACTGTTGGTACTGTTTTACAAGCTGATGCTCTTCTGGAGATTTTAGAAGAGTGGGAAGAGCTTTTTGATGATAAGAAAGCTGAAGTACCACCATCTAGCGAGATATCTGACCCGGGAAAGGATGATGACTGGGCCAACGACGATTGGAACGATGGATGGGAAACGCTTCAGGAGTCGGAGCCTCTTCCAAAAGAAAAAGAGCTTGATAGTGTCTCTGTTCATCCTTTGCACTCGTGCTGGCTGGAGATTTTCAGAAAGTACATTGCTTTATCGACACCTGAAAATGTTCTACAGCTGATAGACCGAACCCTTCAGAAACCCAATGTGGTATTGCTCGAAGAAGAGGAGGTTGAGACCCTGGCTCGGATCTTAACTAACACCAACCCTTTTCTTGCTTTAAAGATTTCTGTTTTGTTCCCATATGAACGAATCAGGTCACTGTGTCTTGGTGTAGTTGAAGACAAATTGAAGCAAGAAGGCATCCCTGAATCATCGGGTCAGAGCATGAACGAGGTTCTATTGCTGGTTATATACTCGGGGACTTTCTCGACCATCATATCAATGTCTTCCTATGGCACTGTCTTCTCCTTCCTCTGCAATTTAGTTGGGAATTCATCTCGAGCTTGCCTAGAGACCTCAACGGAGAAGGACGAGAAAAATAAAGCGAATACTCCTGAGAAAGATTTTCTGTTACATTTTGCGGAATTCATCTTCCCATGTTTTGTGTCAGAGCTCGTGAAGGCCGATCAGCAGATCTTGGCCGGATTTCTTGTCACAAAGTTTATGCACACTAACCCTTCCATTAGTCTCGTCAATGTTGCCGAGTCAAGTCTGAGAAGATACTTGAAGAAGCAGCTCGAGACTCTGGAACGTACGGAGTTCTCTGCTGAGGATACAGACCTTAAAACACTGAGAAACGTGATTTCAAGGTTGAGGGAAAAATCGAAGGATGTTATCCAAATGGCATTAACGTCTCTTTCTTCTTGCACAAGTAACAGATGATATGAAAAGGAGATGGGGCTACTCTGGTGTGGTTTCTTTGGGTAAGACAGCTTAAGTCATACATAAATCTGTTCGCTGTTTTTTTTTTTAATTTTAATTATGAGTTTGCTGGAAGAGTTGTTACATTTAAGGAATGGACAGTGTTTCGTTTTTGGTACTGAATGTTTTCATCATTCAATCTTTCACCAGCAACTAACATTAGGTTTCGGAAGTGTGAAGCAACTAAAATTAGTATTAGCGCACGACAATCTCACTAGAAACATATAACGTGCACTAGTCCCATACTATATAATATCTTACTATATTTAATTTGAAATCTGAATATTTAGTAGCGAAATTGGAAGAATAATACATTGTCAAATTTGTAAAAAATAAAACCTGAACTAATTTTTTTGTCAAATAATTTCTAAAATTTAATATTGTTATATAAATAAATCTGTTATTTGGCCAAAAAAATAGTTTAGAATTTATTTTTGTAAATTTGATAAGTTGAGATATTATTCTTTTAATATTTCCAATTTCTCTAGTATTATGGTTTAATTATAAAATAGTTAAAAAAAAAAAAAAACTTTTCACAATTTTTCACAATGATACGTCTAAACTCTAGATTTCTAACAATTTTCAATTTTTTTTAAAGCTTTTATGTTAAAATAAAATCTATCTAAAATCCATATTACCAAAAACCTAAATAAAATATAAAATTATCCACAAAACATCTAAAATGTTATAATTTTTTATTGAATTATTATACCATAAAAAACAATAATAATAATAATAATAATAATAATAATAATAATAATAATAATAATAATAATAATAATAATAATAATAATAATAATAATAATAATAATAATAATAATAATAATAATAATAATAATAATAATAATAATAATAATAATAATAATAATAATAATAATAATAATAATAATAATAATAACAATAATGATAATAATAATAAAAAATACTGAACTTTTCAATTCTGAGAAAAAATTTAAACTTTTGATTTTATCAAATAAATATTAAACTTTTTAAATTTGTCAAAAAACATTGAACTCTTCTATGATTGTCAAAATAAACAAATGAGCTGACGTGTAATATTTTTTTGACAATTCATAAAAGTTTATATATTTTTTAGATCATTTAAAAAATTTAGTATTTTTTAAACTCATTTAAAAAGTTTAATATTTATTTGACAAAAACAAAAGTTCGGTATTTTTTTTGTCAAAATTATAAAGTTTAGTATTTTTTTGAGATTTTCTCTAATAATAATAAGGGAAAAAATCTTGAACTTGTGATTTGGTGTAATATTAATTCCTAAACTTGTAGGTGTACCTATTTATTTCCGAACTTGTATTTTTGAACATAGTAATTCCTAAACTTGCATAACGGTTCCATAATCGTCTTTACCACTAATTGACCAAAATAATGAGTTGACCAGTCCTAGGTAGCGCATGACATGTCGAGACAAATCAGCAAGAGGTGCCACGTAAACAAAACCGGTTTATTAGACCCGGTCCCGGTTCATAGATAAGCCAGGTTTAATCGAATCAGGTCAACCCTAAACCGAGTTTAAACCGTTCGCTTAAATCCGGTTTAGAAAGCATACATCAAGACATAAACATAGATTCACCAAGTGGGTTCATCCTCAATCTATAACTATAAACTACTCATTAACCATGTCCAAAAACAAAAAGAAAAGGAAAAAGAAGCCAAGAACACAATTCATAGAGAGGAAGAAATGCTCAATGGATCTTCAATCTTCAATCCAAAGCAAACCTCCTTATTCTCCTCTCTTGGATTCGCGTCTAGGGTTCCTCCAAAGTGTAAATCGCCGTTCTTCACTGTCCAAAGTCGGTTCTCCCCTAAAAAAAATGCGAAAATGATGGATTTAAGTTGTTTCAGGTCACGAGGTCAGCCGGACCAGAACTTGGTCCCGCCAGGCGTGTGAGACTGAGAGAGGAGAAGCAAAGTGGTCCTGGTCCGATGGACCAGATTTGGTCAGCTCCGGACCAGGTCTTCAGTAGTTTTGCTCGTTTGGCTCGGAGTGGACTGGCGGACTGGCGGAGTGTGGAGCAGTCCTGGTCCGGCGAACCAACTTAGGTCCTTCCCACTTCTGATCAGCCTTCTATTTATTAAGTTTGGCCACAAGATCAAAAATGGAAAGTTCACTATTTCGTTCCCATAATCTTCCTTTTTGTCCCTACTTGCCTAAAACGAAAAAGGACACAACCAAACTTGCCTAAACCTATCCTAGGATGTTCTAGAAAGGAAAAATAGGCTTTGGCCCGAGCCCAAACCACAAAAGAAGGTCGAACACGCATAAGGACTCGCCATAGGCCATGTTCGGGCCTTACAAGGCTATCTCGGGTCAAGGTGAGAATCCGGCCTGGTCCGGCCTTGGTCACGAGCTAGGTAGGTTCTGGGATGAGGGGAGAGTGTCCTGGAGTCGTGGCCTGGTCATCCGAAGTCGTCCATGGTCCGTGAGCCGCTTGGAAGCTTGGAAGGGCTTCTCGGCATTGTCTTGGCCATTTGACTCGTCTGTGACTGTACCTGCAAGAACTAATGGACGAGAAAAATGGACAAGGGTAAAAGTGCGAAAAATTTACCTATTTTTCCCTCACATGCTCCCCCACTCAAACTCGGGACGTCCTCGTCACGTCTCCAAGGTCCGGTAGCCGATTGTCTAGGCAAGGTTGTCGATGTAGTCACAGACCATGTCTGTGAACTGTCCACAGTTGTCCTCCTCCTCCCATGTGTTCATAGAGTCTGGCAGCCCTTTCCACTTGATTCTTGTTTGTACCTCGTTTGGTACGATGGTCGAGAATGAATTCGGGCTCCTTGTGTGGCACAATAGTCTCGGGTAGGAGGGCTCTCTGTTGGTTTTTCTGAGATCTCTAAAGCGAATCCTATTCCTAAGAGATCGATTCTAGGGTTTGCGCAGCGGATATAAAACAAAAATTTAATAAACCCTAGAACCATGCTTCTAATGAATCGTAGAAACGTTAGAACGCTTACCTCAATCGATCCGGGGCCTGTATCAATCGAAGAACACGTCTGATCACGAAAAGCAGGAAGAATACCTCGCCCTCTACACGTATCCACACCTCGGGATGGATTCCAACGATTGGAACTTGTCTGCTAGGACTCGAATCTCTATTCGGTTTTTGCACTTCGAGAAAACGAGACTTAGAACTTGTTGAGCTTTTGGATCTCACCAAAAACTCTCCAAGAACTGCAAACGTCGACTGCCCAAAGTCTCATCCGTGATTAGGGTTTTAATCTCCTTCTTATAAAGTGATTTTACCCTAATTTTGGTTCAATTACGAAAATACCCAGAGCCCAGAACGGGCGGTCCAGAAATGCACGTGGACCGTCCGTTCCAGAAGCAGAACGGACGGTCTGCGTTAGTGGACCGTCCGCTCCCCACCCTCTGGAACGGACAGACCGCGCACTCTGGACCGTCGGGTCTGGACTTGGTGGACATTACGAAAATACCCCGAGCCCAGAACGGACGGTCCAGAAATGCACGTGGACCGTCCGTTCTGCTTGCTGGAACGGACAGACCGCGCACTCTAAACCGTCGGGTCTGGCCTTGGTGGCCCGTCCGTTCTGGACTTCCGGTCCGTCCGTTCCAGACCCTTCTGTCTCGGTTTTTCGTCGTTTCCTCGTGCGGTTTCGTCCTTCCCTGCGTGTGTGATGACATGTAAATATTGTCATATTTTCACATCGGATGTCTAGCGCATTTCGCGATATTTCGTATATTTATAGATATCCCTTGTACATTTTACTCCGACTTCGATGTTTTTGATATTTTGCAGGAAAATTGGAGTTTTGGGCAAAAATGAGCAATTTCTGAGGAAAATACATGATACGGAGCCAACCCGAAAATATTCCGAGTACCAAAGAGTCAAAGAGGAAATGCTTGCAAGATGTCTTCATTACGATCTCCATAACTTTCGCAACACAGGTCCAAATAATTCTTACTATACATCATTGGAAAGCACATTTCAATAGCTACGCACAGACATAAAGATCACTCTAATCCGACATTGCATCAGAGAGTTATGATGAAAATACTATGAGTCTATATTCTGATGACGAACTGTGCAAGGGTGAGCTATTACGAGCTACATAACTTTCTCCATAAAAATCCGAATTACGTGTGCGATACATCATTGGAAAGATCTCTTCAATACCTACACGTGGACACCAAGATCACTTCAATATCAGACATTGGAGCTGAAAGTTATGAGGAAAACACTATGACTATATACTTTGGTGACGACAAGAAAACAACTTTCCCCAAAACATGGAGCTCGGAAATCATGGAGGAAAATGAGGAGGAAAATGGGGAAATGTCTTTCTCCTTTTCTTGGCTATAAAAGGGGCACGAATGAGAGGTTTACAGGAGGCAATTCACACACTTAGAGAGAGAGTTTTGAGAGCAAAATTCAAGCTTTCTAGAGTGATTCAAGAGGAGAAGAAGGAGAAGAGGAGGAAGAGGAAGATCATGCTCCTAAATCACTAAGCCTCTCTAACTCTATCTCTCTATTCCTACTCTTGGATCATCCTTTTGATATGTCTTGTTGTTTCTCTTGAATTTGTGTGAGAACTCCCTTCATGAGTTTGGAATTTGAGTTTGTATAAGGATTTATGTGTGTATTGAATGCTTGATCTTGTTGGTTTGATGTTTTGGTTTGAATGAATGTTCTTAATGCTTTGATTCTTGTTGGCCCCTTGAATAAACTGATTCTAGAGTTTAGTTTTCATAGTGACATGGAATTAGACTTGGAAAACATTCATTTTGATTAGATAATTCTACCATTTGGAGATGGAGAGATTGCCTTGGATAGGTGACATATAGGTGATCAATCCATTCTTGTAAGGATGGTGAATTTGTCTATGAATTGTGATAGGAAACTATATGCTCTTAGTGTCTTCAACCTATTAGGAATCGAGAGATCGGTAGGTTGAATGATTCTAGGAAGAGAGGTGAGACTCGAGAGAGTAATCCTCGACAAAAGACCTTGAATTCTCCAAACCGAGCTAGTTAGATACCAAGTAAACATTAGACACGATCCTTGTACAACCGAGAATTCCCAAACTTATGATGTGTATCCCACCATTTGTATATACCCACCATTTAAATTCTCGTTTTAGTAGTTTAGTGTCACCACC